TAGTGAAAGGTGTCCCTGCCTATGGCAGGGGGTGAAACTGGATAAGGTCCATCCCAACCCAAACCACTCTCTGATTCTTTGATCCTGAACAGGTCTTCCCTCAAAAGCGGAAACAGGAAGAAGAAATCAACTGTCATTTGGGAAGCAGGACCTTGACAGAGAGTCATGATCTCCCTCCTGGCTCAGGTGAGTGATGTGGTCCATTTTGTCACCTCTTTCCCCAGTGTAGCAGGTTCTCTGCCTTAGTCATTCTGTACTACGGTTATAAGGTTGTTCTGATGTATTTAAATCTACAAACTACACACTAAAGATAATCTTGTCTAAAGGAAACACAAAAGAATATCCTCTAAAATTAATACATGAGAGAAATATCAATTAGGGCACATATCCTTCAATCCTTATGGGTAGGAGACCCATAATTAATTATTATATTATATATTATTACAAAATAACAATAGGTGGGAGCAGGTCCTGTTTGATCAATTTGTTTGGTTATTACCCATAACTAATTCTTGGTTATAGATAGCTGAGGGAACTAAAACAGTGACAGATGAAGGCAAAATTCCCAGATGAGAAAAGAAATAGAGACCTATATGTGTTCAGAAGTGGCAGAGTACAGGTATTTCTTGACATTGCAGCCCTTTATCTTAGACACACCAAACCAGAGATGAACAGCACAATGTAGGTTTGACACTTTTATTAACAAAGAACCCATGGGGCTCATTCATTAGTACAAAATACAATCATGTTCCTGTATGTTAAACAGCTTTTTTTTTTTTATTTTGTCTCTTTTAAACTGTTTCACAGTTATCAAAACAAAGCCCCTGCATATCGAACTTATTATTGTGCAAACAGTAATTATTTTTAAGGATCAATTTCTGCACTAAGCCAAGTGCCAGAGAGCAGAATTTAATCTTGTTTTCACCCCTCCTTTGAAGGGCCATGTGTGCTTCCTAAGAAACACATAATAGTTGACTTTTTTTTGCAGCAAACAATCTAAGGCCACAGTTTATCTGCAAAGAATAAAAAAAACAACTCAAAGATTTTAAAGGAAAAAAAAAAAAGCACATCTTTACCCTTCATTCTCTTGTTTGCTTGACCATGATTATACCAGGTAGCACACATCACCTATCAGGTATTACAGTCCAAAAAAGCACCTAATGTTCTTTAAGCTAATTTTTTGAATTATTAACATGCAAGTTAATACACAGCAACATTACTTTTCAAGTAACTATAATGGTGTCTGTTTAAGGAAAAGATGCTTATTCCCTTTACAGGTGATGTGAATGAAAATCCTGCATTGATTGTATGGGCAGGCCCTCACTTAAAAAGGCATGAGAGCTACATCTTGAGACTTAAATACTTATTTTTAGAATGTCCTTTCTAAAACATGCACTCAAATTTTGGTTAAAGCTGCATTTGCTATAGAAGACAATACTTAATGTTGCAAATGAAAAAAAAAAAAACTGCAGTTTGGAAACATGGATCTCCATCAGTCTGTCTTTCACACTGATGCAAAAGTGATTTTGAGGTGAAGTGCTAGAAATTAGACAATGTAAGGAAGTCATACTAAAAATATATACGTGTGGAAATATGCCTGTAGAAAAATCCCTGCTTCTTATATGAAGACAGATTTCATAAAAAACCATTTAAACTTTCTTTAAACTGCAGTTACTGATGAAATGAAGGAAACTCAATTACTGGTTCTGTAGTTATCAGAAAGTACAATGTTTTACCACATGAAGCACCGGGTTTTAACCCCAAACCCTTCTGTAAGACATATGGAGTAGTTCTAATAGTCCAAAATCCCCTGTACTTTAAAGACAGGACTGTAAACGTGCGTGCTGACAATGCTGTGTTTCTGCTCCTGTAAGTGATCTGTTGGTGGTGGTTTATTTATCCCAATTGATGCTTGGCAGGAAGCAAACATTCTACTTTAAAGGAAGGCAGCAGAAGGGCACGTAAATGCTGTGCCTTCACTCTTAGCAGCAACAAACTCTCACTGTTCTAAATGACCTGAGGAAGAAAACATTAAAATATTGCACCAAAACAAAATTAAACAGCAAAAACAAACAAGGAAACAGACCAACATATATAGTATGGATAGCAAATGACCAGTGCAGCCCCTGACAATAGATCTTTTAGACAAAAATGCAGGAGTAATGAAAAGCTTTGTGCCATTACCAGAGGACTTTGTTCCCCTGATATCTGCTTTCACTTCAGTTATAAGCTATGTCTATTCTGGGTATATTTACACCTCTCCCTACGCCTCTTATCTCATTCACTAACCACAGAAACCATTTAGGGTCCCTTTTAGAACCTTGAAGTATACTGGAGCTTTAACAAGACTTTTTTTGGTCTCAAATCTGACCGTAAGTAAATATCCAAAACAGAGGTAGGCTTATAAAGGCTTTTGAATAAATAAGTATTGTCCATTTTGCTAAGTATACCTGCTGTTGGCAGAAGGATTCTCCCTTGCCATGCTTCCCCTTATCATGCTATCCATAGGCTTAAGATGCAAAAGAAGAACTCACAGTAGAAGAGGCTAGAATAATTCCCTTAAGAAATCCCTTGAAAGAAAGCATAGTGCATAAGCTTGTATCAAAGTCCACTTTTCTCTTCCATACTTGTGTCTCTCACTCAGGAAATGGTTGCCTTCATAGTATTGCATAATAGCTACTCTGTCATCCGTGGTGCCTTCAGGATCGTTAGGAGTGATGAAATAGTACCACTTGGCAGTCGTGAGAAGGGCAGGTTCTCATGAAATACAAATTCAAGACTTCCCCTTTTAGTAGTGTTCCTTTCCTGGATGCAGACAGTGCAAAGCTGAAGCCCCTTGAACACTGGAATCTTTTTTGGAAATGTTTTCTTACCCCACATTCTGTTCTACTATGCAAGTTCTACTACAGAAGTTCTCAACATCATTATGTACATTCTTCCAGAGTGTTCCAAACAAAATATAAATTCTTTTCTCTTCAGAAGATCCATACATCTCCTCCTCGTACTTTGTGTAGTGTGTCCACTTTTGGGAAAACATTCAGTATTTCATTCATTCATTTTCATTTCAGCATTTTCAGGTACTTCTCAAGTATCCCAAGCTTGGCTGCTCCCACCTTATTCCTCTGTGCAGACTAATCCAGCAGATTCTCTTTTATCACCAAACGTGCTCATACCTCCTCCTCCATTTTCCTTTGCCTTTCTCGTACACAAACTGAAGTTTTGAAAAAGAAAACTGTTTCCTTTTTAGCTGCACTACCAGCTTAAGCAGCAGAAAGATTAAGACATTCATCACAATGATGCTTGTTACAAATCCTCTTCAGAGCCTGAACGAAACGGGCTGAATTTCTTCTACATCAGTTGGATGTGGATCAATCTAGGGAGAGAAGAAAGGCAACAATTACTGCCTGCAATTCCTGCATTTAAGTATGTTTTGGTTTGTTGTTCTTTTTTGCCATCTGACAATAAAAACACCACCTGCTATTTATTTTTTTACCTCTGAATAAAGAGGTGGAGGCTGAAACCGGAACTCTTGTATATAAGCAAAGACAGGACAACACAACTGTTCCTCGCAGTCAATGGGTGGTGGATAAGCAGGAACATGTCTGGAAAACTCTTCCTCAGACACTACATCAGCATAATTTGGTGGTGCTGAAACACAAGAGATGCTACTGTCAAATTTCAAACTATTCACTCACAGCAAGACAACATCTGTAGTACAGTATATCCAAACCCATGAAAACTATTTATAAAACATTGTACAACTGTCAGATTGCATTAAACTCATACATATTGTAACTAAAATTATGTGTTCAGTAAGGTTAGGTGCTTCAGCAGGAATACAGATGCTTTTAGGGCAACTCCAGCAACAAGCCTGTGCTGTATCAAGATATATTCAGTAATGAATAAATTAAGTTCCTAAGTAGAATTCCCCCTATCAAAATTTAGTTATTTCAGTCAGATCAGGGTAAAGATAAACTTAAGGAAGGCTGGAGTTAGGGTAACCTCACCCAATCCTTTTGGACCTGAGACTTCTCCTGAGTCATACTTCCATGGCCTACATCCCTACAGTGCCCATAAGTTGGCACTGCACCCATCTGCTGCAGACAGTGCTGTGCTGGATAAAGAGAGTTCAATATGTGTTACCTTCAGGGTGTTCAGGCATGGTCAGTGCCAGCCAACTCATATCCATACTAAACTGGCTGGTAATGCTGGAGTTTCTGCTTGAAAATCCAATACATGGAATAGTGCCAATCACCAGAGGCATTTCAATCATCAATTTCTTAGCACCAGGAATATGGATATACACCTATGTGACAACCCCCAAACAAAAGAAAAAACATCATGAGACCCCACTGAATGCTCCTAAAGGCTGCCCTACTCCCTACACTGCAAATTGTTTAAGAGCTTTCTGATCCCAGATATGTTCAGCTAATACCCTGGCAGCATTCCTTTCCTTCTTTCTGTAACTTGTCTCTAGGTGACATTTAAAAACATCTTGACAAACGTAATTATGCACTTGATTTTCAGTCTTCCCACTTCTGAAAAGAATCACCAGAGGAACCCATTCAGCTTGAACTACTTTCCCATAAAAACCTCTGCAGGTCTCAAACTAGCTGTTTCTTCCTTAGAAATAAATTTCCATTTTCCCTGTTATTCCCATCTTTCCATCTCAGAATCTCTTCATGATCTTCAGTTTCTCATCTATATATATGGTTTATGATATTTATTTATCATAGAATGGTTTGGGTTGGAAGGGACCTTAAAGATGTAGTTCCAACCCCCTTGCCATGGGTAGGGACACCTTTCTCTACATTTACATTTGTCATCCCCAAATTAAAAACCTAACAGCTACTTGGTAAATTCTTCTGTTCCCAACTCAATCCAAAGTTTCTACATTTGAATAACCAATACTTACAGCTAATGAATATTCTACTCTAATAATGCAGCAGTCAAGTATAGAGGGGGATACAGGTGGGATTTTCAGAGTTTTCCCATTCCAGGTATCTGTACTCCCAGAGGCAATGTGGTTTCCTCGGACATTGGCAACCATCTGACGGAAGGTTTTTGTCTTCCCACTGGCCAGGTAAGTTTGTGTTTGGAAAATGGCAGCTTTTGGAACAATCAAACGAGAAGAGCAGTTCTCAATTTCTGCATAGATTGGTATGGCTTCCCCTTAGAGACAGAAAAAGTCCAATGAATAATTTGTATTTCCCAACTTTCCTCTGGGAGTATCAAAGCATGTTACACAGCACGTACATCATCTGCAGTGTTATGAGAACAATACTTGTGAAGTTTCCTCAAGCTAGTTTATTTTTTTCAGAGTGGTATCCAGGCAGAATTATAGCCACCTACTACATTTTATATATAAACAATGATTCATTTTGAAACATTAAGCGTAATATGAACAAGCTATAAAAGCTTTATTTGCAAATTATGCCCCAATCTTCCTTTTATATAATACTAAATGAATTTCAGGATGTTTTATTTTATTTCCTCAATGTCTCTAATGTTATCAAGATGACAAAGAAGCTGCTAAAGCCCATTCTTACAAAAGTGTAAAGCTACACAAATGACATAAAAACCTAATTACATCCCAAATTAAGTATTTTGTCCCAAATAAAAGCATTTTATTGTTCTTTACACTCAAATGTACATGGGTTTTTTGTAAGATTAACAGGACTTCCTTTTAATTTATATTTCCCAAGGGGAAAGGCAAGATGATGTTTGTTAAACCAAGTTTTCATATAGATCTTAATTTACTCCTACTAAACAGAATTATTATTTGACTATAAAGTGTTGGCTTCACAGAGATAAAAGAACCCCAACTACTAGGTGTTTAATATTTACATTTTTAAGATAACTACTCTTACCATTACAGTATCCCTTCCTCTCAATTTTGGCACTGAGAGACACTGGCCCAGAGGTGAAAAACCAACAGCCAACCATCTTCTCCTGACTTCTTAGAACAGGTGTCTATAAAATACAGAGTATTTTTCATTTTATGGGATAAAGCTCTCAATCACTTGCAGTTACTGTTATCCATGTCAATCATTGCAATCCAGCTCTAAAATCCACTGGATTTGAATCACTGAACTGCTCTGTGCAACTGGAGTTTTGCCACCATGTGAAATGGAACCAAGGTTTGGCAATCTGCACATTTCTGTTTCAAAATCCCAGTGTGAATTTAGACTGTATCAACTGGGTAAGACAGAGGCCAGGGTGTCTTTGAATGTGATCTGTCCTCAAAAAGAAGAACATTTCAGAGGTCTCATGGAGTGCTGTGGCATTTGAAAATGGCATAATGAAAATTGGTTTTATATTTATTATAATGAAAAAAATCTGTTTTGCAGTTTTGGTGATAGCCTTGGAATCCCCTGACTGGCATTATCTACTTTATATGCCTCACAGCCCTCTCCTGTGCCATTACCTATGGGCTGCTCTGTCCTTACAGATCTGGGTATAATGCTTTCAAATTCCTAATAGATAGTGTTGAATATAAAGACTATTCTGCTTAAAGATGTCACTGCCAAAATACTCTGAAGTTCTTTCTAAAAGAGATTAAAATGTAAGCACATAAAGAGGAAAACCACCCTACTCAAAACATCTCTTAGCTATGTTCACGTCATGATGTTAAAATTATCCTATAATTTTAAATAAAATAGAAATTACTCATTCATATTTAAATGAATAACCATTTAGATCCAGTTGCTATCATGAAAGTGCAAGGTATAATTTTATATTATTTTCATAATATGGGCTGAGATAAAAGAATCCAGCTCATTAGCTTCCATCTTGCCTATTTTCTCATTACTTAATGCCTGATCTTTCTTATTACTCTACAGTATTTCCAGTCATTACAAAAAACTCAATGCTTTAATGTGGCCAAATCTGTCATAGGGAAATAACTGACAGGATCTCTGGAGCAGCTGTGTGCACACACTTCATGTTGGAAAACGACACGCAAAATGGAGGGATATGTAACATAATGGCCAGAGCATAAATGACAGGCTGGGCATGATTAATACTCTTCTCTAATTACTGTTCCTCAACCTACTATTATTGTAGAGTTTAGGACACTGCAGCCCTGTGAATGTAGTTGCTCTGGTAAGAGTAAACTACTCTACACTCATGCATTATTATTATTAAGCCTTATTTATGCATCTGAAGCCTGCCTAACTTTTTGGCAAGAGCATCTCTGCCAGCAGGGATGTAATCAATGCTATTAAAAAAGCCACTCTGTTTGCTATTCACACAACCTAAGATCATCTATTTATAGAGAAAAGCTTAGGGAGCTTATATGCTTTCAGAAGTCAGAAAATGACACTCCAGAATAACATGGAAATGGTTATGGATGTGAATGCTGCCTGGAAATGTTTTATTTTTTTGCAGCTGGCTTTGAAGGGGGAGGAGGAGCGGAGGAAGGACCCTCTTACCAAGAGAGCTGGTGAGCTGACGTCGATATGGCTGATGACCTGGAGCTCTGTCTGCACACTCTGATCAGGAGCTGCAGGCCTCTCCAGGATGGCTTTCACATAGTACTGAATACTGCCATACTTCCCAGTAAAAGAGGTCACCAGAGGTCTGAAACAAGCAGTCACAAAACCATTACCCTTAATTAATAATTCAGTTCCAAACGTGAGCACTTCCCGCGTACACGAACGTTTAACCAATTTACAGCTCGTACTTTTAGGGCCTGGGGGAAACTGAAGCCAACAAGGCCTGGCTGTGGGGTCTGATTAAGAGAAACATATAAAGCTGATACTAAAAAAAACACAAGTCAAATTACATTAAGATAATGTTGCACTACAAGCAGCGTCCAGCACAATCCCTTCAGGTTGGATTATTTAACTTACTCTTGAGGGAGCTGAAAGCTGAACGGAAATTCGTGTCTTCCATCTAGAAGAATTAAGTTTTCCTCACCTGTAGGATGAAAATGAATAGTATGTTTTAGTTATTCCAGAAATAGAACAAAGCAGATGCTTTTATAAGTTATTTATGTATAAGAACACCCAGATACGAGAAGTTTTTATTGATCCCAGTGGGTTCTGGACTGCAGCCCGTGCTTTATTTGTGCTGTGCTGTGATTTCAATGAAAAACAAAAATCAAGGAAACATGGGAGACCTTGAGATTCAGTTCAGGACTCTGGCCAATTTCGAATCCAAAATGGCTTCTGCAGAGCACAAAGTAAGTTTCTTTTCCTTTTCAGCAAGACAGCAGTTAATCTGCTTTTCCAATTAACAATTAAACTAACTTCTGTGCTAAAAAAGCTGCAATTTAAGGTCAGTATGATGAAATACTATTAATACATGAGCTCCCAATATACGTTCATAGAGGGCCTGCTGTTACACAATTCTGAAGGCCTAAATTTACTTTCCCTGCAGCTCAGCCTGAGAGCTGCGTTTCACTCTCACAGAACAAAATGTCGCTGCTCTGTTTTTTAATTTTCCGACGCTGCCATAGGTGCTGCAGTGCCTGAGTGACAGAGCTCAGCCACAGCGAGCTGCCTCTGCTTCCTCAAGCCATTGGAGGAGCCCGACTGCTCCCAGGGTCTTCCACGGGGGTTTCCCAGCTGCTGCTTACAGAGCACAACCCACACGGCTGATGGAATTCACAGGCGGGCTGAACCTCTGCAGGGAACTCAACTGCGGGTTTTCTTACAGCCCCATTCCGCGTTTTTCAGCCACCGCGCAAAAAAAGTCTGTGGGCGGCCCCTGGCGAGGCTGTGGCAGCTTCCCAGGGTGAGGGCTCTGACGGGGGCGGCGATGTCCGCACGGGGCCTGAGCACCCGCTGCCCACTGCCAAGGGTGCCGGCGCCCACTTCTCCCCCTCCCCTCGCTGCCTTCTCCGCTCCCTCAGCGCCACTCCGCTCCCACCCCCGCCTGAGTCCCGCCATCACCTTCGGGCGGGTCCCTCAGGGAGGCTCTGTCGGGCATGTCCAGGTACCGCACCTCCGCCCTCCCTCCGCGGGCCGGGCCCCGGCGGCGCCGCACCGCCACCCCCCAGGGCTCCCGGCGCCGGGCCCCGCGCCGGGGCTCTCGCTCCAAGCGACGCGCGCCCGCCCCGCGGCCTCCAGGCGCAGCCCGCGCAGCGGCAGCGGCCCCCGCCAGCTCCAGCCACACCTGCCGGACACCGTAGTCCCGCTGCAGTACCGCCGCCACCACCGGCGCGCCGGCCTCGTCTCCAGCACCAGGGCCAGCGTCTGTCACCGCGCCGCCGGCCCCGGGGCCCGGCCCGGCCGCCGCCATCGGCTCCCGGCCGCGGGGGGAACCGCGCCCGCCCTCGCCCGGCGCCTTAAACCCGCCCGTGTCCGCCAGCGGCCCGCGGCGCCGCGCCCCGCCCCCGCCCCGGCCCGCGCCCCCGCGCCGCGCCCCGCCCCTGCCCGCGGCCCATTGGCCGCACGCGGCCCCGCGCGGCCTCCATTCGCCGCCGCACCGCCCTACACCCCCTCCTCATTGGCACGCCCGACCCGCGCACGCCGCAGTGCAGCGTCCACGCTGCGTGATTCGCGCCACCGGGGCAATGCGGGCGAGGCAGGCGCGCGTGGACAGCGCGGCCGATTGGCGGCGTGGCGGCAGGTCCCTCAGCGGCGGCCAATGGCGAGGCCGCGGCCACCACGTGCAACAAGCCTGTGGGTAAACAGGCAGGGGAGGGGCGGGGTCAGGGCGGGGCCCTCAGCCTTTGCCCTCCCAGCCCTGAACCTTGCGCAGCCTTTTGGCCTCTCTGCCTTCAGGCGTCCCGAGGGTTCCCCGGGCACCCGAGTTCGGGGTTCTTGTCCCTCGCTGTTCCACCGCCTGTGGTCACTGCCCTCCAGCCCCGCGCTGTGGGGAAGCCGTGTGCCCTCGGTGACCCCGGGCTGCGGGGAGACCTTGATCCTGAGTGGCCCTCAGGCGCTGTCATGGCTGTTGGGGTGTGCTGGGTTGGTCTCAGCCTCTCCCCGCCGACAGCCGGGCTGGGACTGTTAAATGTGGAAAAGTGTTGCGGTGTCGCTGTTCTCCCCCTGTGTGCCAGGGGGTTCCCTCGGGGACTTGATGCTGCCTGTGTGAGCCCCTTCCGCACCCCACTGACGAGCAGGAGGTCAAGGTTTATCTGTAAATAAGCCATTCTGGACAGTCTGGAAACCTCATTGCTCACACAAATACTGTCTGTTTCTGCACTTTGTCAACCAAGAAATGCCCTGGTTCAAGAACTTGTTCTTACAACCCCCGTTGTAACTGGGAAGCTAAATGGCTGCGTGCTGTCACACCCAGCCAGTGACACCTTCCCAAACACAAAGGTTTATCCGCAAGAATAAACACAGAGTTTGCTGCTCTTTACAGTTTTTAGAAGTGCTAGCTTAGGAACCCCCCAGCATCTATAGGAAGAGTGGTGAACGTGTTGGTTCTCGGCAGTGTCGTGTTTTACGATGGCCTGAGATGACAGCAGTGCATCTTCCTGAAGGTGTGTGCGGTGGATGATCCACCAGCATTTCCACTGGTGACCAAGGAGTCACTTCCCGGTCAGTCACCTGCCTGCTTGAAGCTCCCCACAGCTGCATCTTCCTGCATTCCTCCGGCCCTCTGGGCTGCTGCAAAACACCAGCCTGGTGCTTCCCAGCTGACTCAGTTAATTACTGAAATTAGCTAAAATTGTCTTCCAGACTCAGAGCCTTGGCTTTTAAGTAACTGATGGGATAACTCCCAGGCTCCCTCAGAATCCCTGGCATACCTGTGTGTCCCGTGAAATGTAGCCTCCTATTTAGAGTTACTGCTGCAATGAAGCACCTGTCCTTGCCGAGAGCCAGGTAGGCCTTTGGAACACTTTCTGTTGGCTAAAAGTTTGTAAACACCTCGGTGGTAATCGATAATAACCTGGGAAAAAGGAATGTGGTTACAGATGGGGTGAAGTCATGGGCTTTATTTTGACCTTTGGCCACGGATTCCCCAACTCATGAGGAAGAATTATGTAACTAAAGCAAATAACTCTGCGATGGTTGTCTGAGTAGTTAAAGAGTTCTGGGATATTCATATACCTTTGTACTTTTGAAATATTTTTTTTAAATTGAAACTGCAAATGCATTGTAGTTGGGAATTGTGGTGTATGAAATCACGCTACATTGGTGGTTTTTAGCTCAATTAAACTAATACATGAGTAATTTTGCATAGATCTTTTCCTTATGTCCAGTTTTTCGCATTAGCAAGTATAAGGTTAGTTTTGTAGCCAGCCAAGAGACCATGCTTGGATGTCCAGACTGAATATTTGCTTATTTGCAGAATTTCTTAAGTACAATGTGTGTGTGCAGGCTGATTTTGAGAGTGTGATCCCACACCTCCCTTTTTCCTGCATGAATTAGAGCCTGTGTAAAAGTAATTAATTCTCTTAGGGGTTTATGTGACCATTCAAACATTGCCTCCCATTTATTCTTTTTAAGTGCAAATGAGGTAGATAGGGAAATGAATAAACATGGACAATTGCTTGTGGAACAAAACATTACACAGAATTAGTGAGAATTAGGAGGCTTCAATAACTTGAACAATTAGCCTGTAGAGGACACAGTTAATAGGAACATTCTGTCACAGTCAGGTGATACTTATCCCTGATGTTTGTTTGCCCTTTAATACATTTTTTTTCATCAGGATGCAAAGACCAGAATTTGTTGAAATTATCATGGAGTGATTGGTTTTCTCATCTACCCATCTTGAGGACACTTTGTGGTGTTTGAGACATTTTAACTGACCCACCCAGTGACATAAAATGAATGGTGGAATCCACCACATGACTATTTTAGTCTCTGATGAGCCAGGAGGAAGGAAGAGGAGATGAACACTCAGACTAAGTTGTGGGTGTTTGTGTGTGACTGGTTGTCTGAATGCAGGAGTAGGTGTGAAAGAGCAGGAGTTATATTGACATGCTTGATTATATTTTCATTTCACTTATTTTGCCACTTTATTCAGGACTGTGTAAGAAAGAGCTGCCTGAACGAATTAGTTAATACACAAATTAGTGTGTAAGAGTAAAAAATACACAAAGAAGGGTCTCATTGGAGAGTATCCACAAAGCAGTGAACAGCTCTAGAGTCACAGACTCATCTTGAAGGCAAAGGAAGTGGGAGAACATCTTCCTACAGCAGCTGGTAATATCCTGGCTCTGCTGGTTAATTTGGAAATGACTGCTGTGGTCAGGTCACTGAATTTAATAGGTCTCATGATGGAAGTTTCTACAGGCAGTAACTGTTTTTTAACTAATTTCTGTGCACATACTGATAGAACAGGCTATCAGGGCTTTAGCCTGCCAGAAGAGTTTTGGAAAGTATGGAATAGAGTCCAGGTTTCCACAATGGGAAGGACACATGATATGTAAATAACTTTTTTTTTTTTTTTTTTTTTTTTGGTGGGAGATACAGGATAAGAAATGGTCTCAGCAACAACTTCTGCTTCCGGGAAGGTTTTTGTTTTTCAGAAATCCAAGCAGTAACTGGGAGGGAAAAACTTGATGAGTATTTGCTGTCCTCTTCCTGCTTGAAAGGAATGGAGACAGAGCTCTTCATCGTGAGTCAGGCACCAGCACCAGGAGTTTGCCAACTAAGCTTTTCTGTTCTTAATCAACGGCCTGGCAGTTTAGAGAGTGAAGAGCTATTTCTGCTGCTGGAGGAGGACTTGGGGAAGTGTTTATGAGAGCTGCTAACAGCTAATTTACAGGCTGTGGAGTTCTTATTTGAGATTGCTGTGCTATAACATCCGTTCAAGTGGCTTTCTCAGGGCAAACAAGCAGTGTCTGAGCTGCAGTTGAGCTCGGTGGAAGAGCCATGGGACGGGCTGTGCATGAGTGAAGGCCTCACACAGGCAATGAACAGTGTGCAAACTCCACCCTGACCTTTCTGCGTGGTAGGGAGGATTTGCCCATCT